AGGCACCTTCAGCTACAGGGCAAAACACTACACTGTTCTCATAACCATGCTTGGGTCTAACCATGAGAATGATCCAAATGCAGGGATCTCTCTGTCAGCAGATGTTCCAGTTGAAGTTTGGAAATAAAGCACAACTGGACTCCTAAGCACACCTTTGTTTCCTGAATGAAACTCAAACTCTTGAGCTTGGGCGGAAACCATTTTAGAACCCTATCTGAGAACCTTTCCATGTGACATCCAGAGTCAACACACATCCCACCCATTCCTGGATCTTCCTGTATCCTGATAGCCCCTCCTCTCCAATCCTGACCCAGAAAGGTCTACTGTGGTTTCTAGATGTGGGTTTTCCCAAGCACACCCCAAGGGATTTCCTTCAGGGCTGTCTCTGGCATGAATGAAGATGCTGTCTCTGTTGGTCCCTTGTGAACCATCCATTTCCTTCATTCAGGAGAAGAGCAGTCATCACTGCACTGTTCCTTGTTGGTCTTTAGGAAATGAGTCGTGCCTTACCTGAGTAATGAATGCTATCATCCCAGCTATTGCGGATGCTGAAGCAAAAGGATTGTCAGTCCCTGCCTAGGTAACAAAGCAAGACCTTATCTCTAACTTTTAAAAACCCTAGCAGGTTGCCTGCTGAAGACATACAACTTCCCAGGTCATCGAATGTCCCCATGCTATCTGTGTGAGGCGGCTGTGAGCTCGACATTCTGTGGAGCCAGGTGTGACTCTCATGTTGTTCATGGGACTCTATTCCTAGTGATGGGTTGTGTGACAGCCCAGAACTTCGCTCCATTACCTGATTTCCACTTGTGATGGGAGCCAACTTAAATTCTTTTTACTCTTTAATTTTTCCCCCTTTATTTTCAGATTAGGAAAGTACTACAGATTGTTACAATGCTCTAAACGGTGAATAAAAGCAAAGGTAAACATGTCTCCCTGCCCGACCACATACATCATCTTGCTCTTGCGATCACCATGTATATGACAGTACATGTCTGCATTGAGGTATAGTTCACACATAGCAGATAGGTAACACCTTGTAGGTCATTTCATATGAATAAGGTCATGATGGTCATGATGTGAATGCATAACTGTATCTTTAATAGCCATCTAGTTTACATTTCTTTCTCAGGTATGTTACTCTAAGCACTTTCTAGAAAACAAGGGTGTGCTTTGGCCAGAGGACCATGCTTGTCTTCAGTGACCTCTATTTCCTGTTACGACTTCTGCTGCTGCTGCTGCTGCTGCTGAAGATGATGGTGATGGTGATGGTGATAATAAGATGATGATGGTGTTATTGTGGGGTTTAATATGATGTTCGTTTGTGTGCTGAGGTGAAACACAGGGCCTCATTCCTGCTAAGCACTCTTTATCACTGCACTCCACCCCAACCCCATGTTTCTGCTCATGAACACTCCTACTGCCCTTATCATGTTGGGATTGACTAGATATTGACAGATGGCACACTGTTTCTTCCTCCCTCCTTCCCTCCCTCCCTCTCTTCCTTCATTCTTTCTTCTTACTTTCTTTCTTTCATTCTCACTTGGTTCTAAGGGATAGCCTGCCTTGTATACCTCCTAGCCTCTTAGCTTCCTGTCTTTATGTTCATCCCTTCCTGTTGGATCTATTGTCCAGTTGCAGTCCCAGCGTTGTCTCTAACCTTACCTCTTTCCCTCAACATTCCCAAAGTTATCAACCCTTCCACGATGGACCCTTTCCCATTCCTCCTTACGTCTTTCTCCATCTATTGTCCGGCAAAGGGTATCTTTCTCCTCCTCTCAGTGGGTATCTTCTGTTCTCATCCTACCAGATCACACATTTGAACTCCATCCTTGTGCTCTGCTCTGTAGGTTTCAAACAGAACTCATCCTTATAGTAGCATATAAGATGGAGGCTATGCACACCCACTGCATGCAATCCGTTCTGCTAGATGGGAGGGCACTGTTGCTAGAAAAAATATTTAATTGTTTTTTAAGCCAGATGTGGTACTATAGATTTGGGGCACCAGCATTTAGGGAAACAGAGGATAAGGTGAGAGAATCTCCTGAGTACAACAGTCTAGGAACTCAGTGACATGCTCAGCAGTACAGTGAGTGACTCCTCATCTCAAAGACTTAGGGAAGCCACTCAACAAAAGCCCTCTGGGAACTATTAGTGAGGGCAGGAAGTGTCTTGAAATCCAGAGGACAGCAATGCATTCAGCCACAATGGGGGTGAGCCTTAGCCTTGGAAAAGTACCTAAAAGATGATGCCTGAGGTGGGATTGGAACTGAAAATGGAAAGAATGCATAAACGAGAGCCACTTACTCATGGCAGTCTAGACATAAATGGTGAGGGACACCTGACTGGGAGACAGACCATCCTATGGGTGCCATGAGTGCATATATTAAATGAAAAACATGGTGATCCATCTTTTGTATAACTTACCAGTAGGCAACTCAGCCTGTTCCCCTAAACATCCTTCTGAGCATACAGTTTAAATAACCCCCCAACCTCCTAGCTCTAGATAACTCTCCCCTCCAACACACATCAGTCAAACACCCAGGAAATAAGACACCTGGCACAATCTTCAAGAAGTCCTTGCAGCCTCTGGGGCACCATTTTGTTGCTCTAAATAATCACTGACATGTTCCAAATTAATTTAATGCATCTGCTAGGATTATTTTGCCCACAAACCACACAAAAATCATGTGGATTTCTACCCAGAAGGCCACTTGTCCACTCAGAGACCAGGCTAGGGGTTCAGAAGGGAGACGAGAGTGAGGTGAATTTGTCTTCTGGGAACTGAACCTGTGACCTCATTAGCACAGGGTTCTAATCAACTGAGCCACCAGGCACATTCCCTACTGAAGGCACCATGGCAGTAATTTGCTACATGTTAATTCTAAGATTAACTACAGATGAGGAGCATTCCTAGGGGGGCAAAATGAGAGATTTGTTAATTCTTGGGGAAAGATTTAGGTCATCAGTTTTTGAACTCTTTAATTTTAAAATATAATTCTATAATCTTGAAATGATGCCCACCATTCTATACCTTCATGATTTTTTAATCGTTGTCTACACCACAAGAACAAAGCAAATGGTGTCACCCCTGCAACTGCAAAATACTGCCCAAGTTCTTGTTTATGGTTTCCTCTGTTTCAAGCATAACGCAGAAGGAACAGGATCCTTGCTGATTTGATCTGCACCTCGTCACTGTCACCAAAATACTAAGTCCTGAAGAGACAATCCTCCCTCCCACAAAAAAAGGGAAGAACAATATTACAGACCTGTCCCAAGACTGGAGAAGCTTAACCTACTCCTCTCTCTTCCTTCTCTCCTAACCAGCCTTGAAAAGCTAGTATTAAAAACAGTAAATTGGTATGGAATATTGTTTTGACACTGACTTGGTATCCTGTACTCAAATTCCTATGAATATTCTGCCTGCTTCCCAACTCTGGAACAATTTCCGCTCTGAGGCTACATTAAACATTCAAGCCATTTCAACTTTAGCTGCTCCCACCCTTACTGTGACTTTGAACTTGATATGGCTTTGGAAGAAGCCAGAGCAACTGTTTAAAAACATTAATAAAGATGGGCTCTAGCCTAGACTTTGTAATTTTGTAGCAGGACCTCTGTGAAGGCATCGTGGGAATGGCCGTTGGAGTGTGTCCACACTAGCGTTTCTATGGGAAGCTAGCTGGAAACCCCACTGTTCTCTGGAGCGATATTCATCATGGAGAAACTCAAGCCTCTTACTTACACATTGGCTCTTCTGTCCTAGGAACTTAAAGCAATGATTTAACAACCCTGGCCTGACTGAGTAAGCAATTCAATAGTAGAGCAAGCCCTGGGTTCAAGTATCTACGTAAAAACACCTTTACATGCATACCAAGGCTACTGTCAGTTGTGACAGATGCCTCCCACATTTGTTAACTCCAAGCCTGGCATTGTTAGAGCATCCTGGGTTTGGTGTTCACCATTAGAGGTTCATAGGAAAGTTAAGTCTCCTGTGTCAGCTGTCAATTTTGTTATCGGTAAAAATGATGGCAGCTATGATTACAACATAGGGCTGCTGTGCACCAGAAATACACATAAAATTATTATTAATATTATTATTATTATTATTATTATTAAAATTTAGTTTTATTTATTTGAGCATACTGTAGCTGTCTGCAGACACACCAGAAGAGGGCATTAGATCTCATCACAGATGGTTGTGAGGGACCATGTGGTTGCTGGGAATTGAACTCAGGACCTCTGGAAGAGCAGTCAGTGCTCTTATCCCCTGAGCCAGCTCTCCAGTCCCACATAAAATCATTTAGCTCAAGACTGAAACAGTACTGAGGAACTCACTCAACTGTAAGTTAGGGCCAAGGATGTAGTTACATCAAAGCACTCATCTGGTTTGTGTGAGACCCTGTGTTTGATCTCAGAACCACGAAAACCAAGAAGTAAACGGCAACATCGTATCTCCTATCTGCCTCACTTGAGCAAAGAATCCCCATTTGGGTATAATCTGTTGCATTTCAAATATCCTAGGCTTTATAAAGCCACAACAACAAAAGTTAAATATATACTCCATTCTACATCCACAAGGAAATACTAACGATTAAACTGAACACAACCCAGCTTAAATAGCATGCTCTGATTCACATAGCTAAGAAGCAGAAGCCTAAAATGAAAATAGCTAGCCCTGATTTCCAAATTAATACCTATAAAAATGTTTCCTTATGAAATACATTCTAAAACGGCACTGTGAAACTTTCCAAATTAGCGTGACCAGAATAGATGGATGATCTCTCTGTCAACAATATACCCAATTCTTAACCAACCTAACGGTTTGAAGGTATTTCAAAAATGTATAAAAATATTACCTGCCTATTCAGATAATTCAAGCTCAGTACGTTTTTATCTGAAAATACAATCTAAGACAGCCTCATTTTATAGTCAAGAAACTCTCAGTTTTAAACAACTCGAGTTCAAGCTGACAGTCAAAAACTAAATAAACAGAAACTAACCTGCTGGGTAGTATCCGTCTTACAGTCCTGGGCACAGTCTCCATAATCTGCAGGGGGATGGCTGGTTCCGTAAAATAAATAGTTTTCATTTCCTCTCTATATTTCCTGAAACCATCATTGGTAGCTCACTTTGAGGGCTTGGTAAGCGCCCTCCCATCTTGCTTAGAAGACGGTGTTTTCTTTTTATTTTGTAACAAAATGGAGGAAAGCCAGTAGTTGCCCAATGTTTTAAAGTGCTGAGTCTTAATTACTTCCCATTCTCTTTCACCGGCAAGGTAGTGTTCTTAATAGATTCTAGCCTTTAAATACTGCTTATCATTTTCCGATATTTGTTTCTTTTTATACATTGATACTGTGAGGTGAAGGATGAGAGACGGGGAGAGTTCTGATTAATTGGACCATGAAGAAGCAAACATTCAGAGATCAAATCCCCAAGAGAAAAAAACAAATAAAATGTATTATGTGAGGTGGAAACATGGGATTCTTCACAAACATTCAACATGATTGGTAATTTAATAACACTGTTATCTTATTAATATTTGAAAAGGGGAAGGGTATAACTCTTAGGCATTAGCCTTCAGCCAGAATCTTTCTACTTGGTACCATCCCCTAAGTGAGCCAGGATGTTTTTAGGTACCAAAGCATGAGAGTCTTGCAATAAGGTTTTAACAGCCATAAGGGGTCTGGGCTGGAGAGATAGTTCAGTGGTTAAGAGTGCTGACTGTTCTTCCAGAGGTCCCAGTTCAATTCCCAGCAACCACATGGTGGCTCACAACCATCTGCAATGGGATCTGATGCCCTCTTCTGGTGTGTCTGAAGACAGTGACAGTGTACTCACATATATAAAATGAAGTAAGTAAATCTTTAAAAAAAAAAAAACATAAGGGTCACAGGCAGATGCTGAAGGTGTGTCACTGTCCTTACCTCAACCGGAGTCACAGATGAACATTGATCTCTGGGGCTAGGTAGGGAATCGGCCACCTTCAACCAACAGCACAGAAAATCTACAGCCTCACTGAAGTATGAGCAAGAGAGTCATACAAAGTGCTGTAGTGAAGCCAAATGTGGTAGTGCATGCCTATGACGCCAAGTAGTTAGGAGTCTGATGCAAGAGTGCTGCATGAGCCCAAGAGTTCAAGGCATCAGAGCAGCACACTGCTGCAAAGATACTAACCCTCTCTATGGATATTTAGGCAACCAAGTGTCATTTTGAGCCTCGGCTTCTTTCTTTAATGTAGGAGAGATGGTGGTGGTGGTGATACATATTGGAAGTAGTAGTGGTGATGGTGATAGTGGTGGTGATGGTGGTGGTGGTGGTGGTGGTGGTGGTG